GGGGGCCAGGGAGAGATTTTTACAGGTGGAGCATCTAGACCACCTCAGCCCCACCATGGTTGGGGCTGCATATAAGAAAATTTATGATCATAGCCCATGTAGATGGCCGTAAATGGCAGACTTAAATTTGAACATAATTTTTCTCTTTTTCTCTATTTTGTATCTGCCACCTGCCACTGCTGGTGGAGGGATAACTGTTAGTATAGTTCCTTGTCCTAGTACACAAGCAAAATGCATAAAGAGTGTTCGAACCGTGACCTCAACATTAAGAGATCCAATGGCAGTCGATGTGCCAACCATTCTGAAAACATTGATGGTGAACAATGTAGGACAAAACCCTGGCAGTTTGCTATTTTTTTTCCATGGATTAAAAAAAAATTATATTTCATCACTTTATTATCTAGAGTAGACCAGACATACATTTTTTCGGCATATTGTAAATGTTGAAATTTATAATACATTTTAAGGCCAAGTAAAAAAAAAAGCAGTTTCTCGTACTAATATTTTGAAAGAAGGAGAATAAGGACAATTTTTTTTTTAACTCTGAGATAGCAAATCCAAGATGGTAGATGGGAAACAGCTCTACTATTTCCCACTTTTCCAAAGTGCGGTAGACATTTTGAAAGCAAATTAAAGAAGCACTAGACATGATTCATACCATATATATCCCCAACCACGAACAATCGAGAGAGAGAGAGAGAGAGAGAGAGAGAGAGAGAGAGAGAGAGGAATTTTACTGATGAGAGTTAGCCAGTTTCATACTTCTCGTAAAATAAAGGAAATATATGAATATAAAAACTCTGGTGAGGGAGAGAAAATGGATCCACGAGGGTACCTGAAACTAGTAATTTTTTATATTTGGCCTTAAGGCTAGTGTTTAATTTGGTTGTCATCATCGGGAGTTTAAGTTTAGTTAGAGTGTCCCCAATGGGAAATAGGTAATTATTAATACAACTAACGAGCAATACTTCATTTAATGAGAAAAACATTTTTACTTTTGATGTCTGCAATATTATTTTGGAGCTTTTGTACAGTACTTGAACAAAAGAAAAATTTTATATGGAAAGGAAGATTTTTGAATAATTAAAAACTGGAGGTGGGGGGGGGGGGAAAGGGGCGTAACCACCCATTTTTACACCTTTTTCCTCCAGTTATATATTCAAAAATCTATATCTTGTTCACCGTTGCTCAGTTTTTGATCAAACTACTTTTTTCTGTCTTAGAAAAATTAGTTCTACAGCGTATCAAAAAATGTTTTTCTTCCGGAGCCTGACTTCAAAAAATCGAGAGTTTTATTTATACGAGGAGGAGCCAAAAACACTTAGATATGAATTTTAAAAGGCCAGTGTTTCAAGCTTCAAGTTGGTATCTTAAACCATGGAGGTCTTTTAGTATACTAGGCCTTTTCTATAATACTGTACTGTACCTCTTTGCTTAAACATGGATGTTAGCCCTGTTGTTGCCTCTAAAACACATACCGCACTATGGATGATGTTTGGTCATGAACCCTAGAATTTAGAGTAGGTCTAAAGAAAAAACGAATCCAAATGAAACATCTGATGTTGTGTGCTTTAGCAACAGTAGCGGCGAAAACAGGGGTCGTTGTTGAAGGGATCGCCATTAAAAACATTCAATGCGCACGCCTCAGTTTGAAATTACGTTCCTATAGTATCGCATCGGTCGAAAACTGTCACATGTAGTGTGTTTAGCTGTACTCTACAACTTAAACCATGCGACTAATTTGGTTACCCCTCTGATTTTCCCTTAAAATAAGTGCTTTTTCCTTGTAAGCCTATATTCATTAAAATCGAAAAAAATTCATTTATCACTGATTTAGGTCTTCATATCAGTGGTGTATCTAGTGGGGGTGGGGGTGCATGCCCTCTAAAAAATTATTCACCAACATTAAAAAATTTTTCCCCCCCCCCCCCCCCCCAAATCATGGTAGTTAAATCACCTATAGTAAAATCACCTTATTTTGCGAGTTAGGTTCCCCCCTCCCCGCAACTGATCATCGATTTAATATCAATTATTTCATGTATCATCCAATCGTCAATAATGCTTTATACTGCCGTGATACGATACAGCTTACCATGATTTAAAATGCGAGTGGCAAGTTTGTGTGTTGGTCGTGTATCATCCTTCAGTATGTGAAGCCTTGAATAGTAGTAGGATTAACCAGTAACATTGATAATATATAATGCATTGTATAGTCTACAGTGATTTATTGGTGTTTTTTTAAGTTTGAAAACTGAATAGTAAACAATAGTACTAGGAATAGATGTGGTTTACAGTGGAATAACTGTTAAGCTGTAGACGCTTAAGGCCAAGTAAAAAAAAAAAGTAGTTTCTCATTCTGATATTTTTAAAGAAAGAAAATGAGGGCAATTTTTTCTCTTTTTTTTCACTCAGAGATGGCATAATCCAAGATGGTCGATGAGAAACTGCTAACTACATTGAAAGCAAATAAAAGAAGCACTAGACATGAATTATACCAAATTTATCACCAACCACGAACGATCCAGAGAGGTGAATTTTACTGATGTGAATTTAGCCAGGTTTTTGTACAATTTGTAAAATAAAGGAAATTCAAAAAAGAAAAGAAATTGGTGACTCAGAGAAAATGGATGAAGCGGTTGGCGCATCGGTTGTGGCTTGCACTCCTAACCTCGAGGTCGGGGGATCGAAACTCTCGCTGTGCAAATCGCTTGTGTCCTTGGGCAAGGCACTTTATCTACGGTTGCCTCTCTCCACCCAGGAGTACAAGTGGGTACCTGGTAGGTTCCAACACAACTACGCTGATTACTAGCCACAATATTATGGAATAATAATATAATTTAACTTAATAATTTAATTTGGTGTTCAATGTGTTCCATATGTGTTTGATCCAATGACTGGGGTAGTAATGTGAAGCGCTTAGAGGCTTTGTTAAGGCATTAAGTGCTATATAAGAACGACATTTTATTATTTATTATTATGAGAAACTAGTAATTTTTTTTTTGGCCTAAATCTGTTGGATGACATGTTGAATGTTATTGTTGCGTTCACCTTTGGAAGTGTTGAATAAAACTATGAGTTTTATTCCCCATATATCATTGTTATGTGCTTACCTGCTTTGTCAGTGAATCCTTGGACAGTTCTAGAGAAAAAATGTTAAGCTTCCAACCAAGAAAATTATCTTTATTATAAAACACCTTCAAAAACAAATTTTATCTGTAAACGATTTCAGCAGTGACAAAGAAAAAAAGTGCCCCTAATAAGATGTGCAGTGCCTCTGTCTACTAGTTGCACACTCTTTCGCTTTTTCCATCTTGCTTCTGGTTATACGTTTATATTGTGGAAAAAACAGGTGTCTCAATGAGCAAAACAAGTGAGAAGTTGTAATTGGAAGAACAAGAAAAGATGTTACAGAAAGTAAAACCAAACGATTCCAAACAAGTTTGATCCCATTTTTTGGCTGATATAATAAATTAAAATTAAATTCAAAATTGTCCCTTTCCGGTGTCTTATACCCGATTCACACGTGAAGTTAAATTTAACAAAAAGTAACAAATTGTAAGCGAGCGATCTCCCGAGTTATTCCTACCGAGATAAAAAGCATTCACACGCGTCTGTAAGGTAATGCCAAGGTCGTGTAAAATTTATTCAGTGTTTATTCAATGAATCATTTTTCCCCCTACTGCGATATAGGTCTAGCCTAGGCCTAGTTGAGAACCCCTGTCACAGATGGACTGTTGAACTCACCATGACAGTAAACATTCGAAGCAATCAATGCCCTTAACAACTGCTGTAACTACAGTACTACTAAACTAGGCATAGCTTCCAACGTGTCTGTCGACCCTTGATAATACTAGTAATAGTACTAACAACATCCCGACGTTCATTTTATGTATATCTTCTTCTACCATTACTAATTAACATCAATAACAATGGTAATTCATTCATCATTGAGAAAAACTAGGCATATCTATTTCTAGTGGATCAGAATCGTCTGCAGAAGGAAGAAAATTCAAAGAACCCCGTGAAACACAGTAGATTGTTGTTGTGTTGAAATCCCTGCGCATGCGCAGATCCATCTATGCTACATCTCGGAAGCTTTACCAGCCTCAGCGAGGCTGGTAAAGATTACCGAGACGTTCCGAGATTTTACAAGGATATTACACGGAGGTACTTTCACACGTGCCGTAAAATGTTACTTTTGGTTACATTTTGTTACATTTGGTAGGATTTTTGTACGTGTGAATCGGGTATTAGTGTTCTTCCCCATCCCTTCATTTATGTTTTTTTTTTTAATGCTCCTTCCATGGTTTTCTCGCATTTTGATGCATGGTTTTTTGCTTTTTCACGATTTTTCTATTTTGTATGTCATTGTTGGATGTAATTTACTGTATTTTTTTGTGTTGTCCTTTGTGTATTTTTCTTTTGTAAAATCATACACAATTCGGCCTTGTTGCTATGTGTTTTTTTAATATTGAATTTTGAGTTTTAAATGAATATACCTCAAATAATAGAAGAACTCCAAGCCAGCACCCAAACCACGGTATGGGGATGCGCTCTCGTGTTGTATAAAATCTCTTATTATTGAGTATATCAACAATTGTGAATCTGAAGTCACATATTTCAATGATTTACTCTTAATCTACTTTTTACAGTCAAGTTGAAGCTATCACATTGCAATGCTTCTGGAATGCCATTTCTCTGGGGGGTTTTCTGGCAACATAGGAAAAAGAGATTTTGAAGAAGGAAAACAAGAGTGTCTCCACAAAATTGACATCAATTACCAAAAAATCCCACCACTTGGCTACTCATCAAGTGATCACCAAACATTCCTGAAATATCTTCAGTTGCTTTAGCCCGATAGATATTGCTGATTCTAAAAGGCATTTGGAATAACATAAATTTCAGTGTATGGAAATTTATTTAATGCTCTGTTCGGATTATCAAAGTTTCTTTTACAAAAAAACTGTTGTATATCCAGGGACGGATCTGGGTACAAATTTAGTGGGGGGGGGGGGTCCAAATGTTTCCAAAAATTCCCAAAAAGAAAGGGTGTCCGGGAGATCCTCCCCCGGGAAAATTTTGATTTCTAGATTGCGGGAAATGAGCTTTCCCAACTTCCGAGGTGTCTGTTAATGACTTACAAGTTCTTCAAAAATTCAAGTTTTCCTCCTCTTGAAAACAGTCAGATACACTTTCTCATTCTTGTTGATAGTAAATAGGCCTATTATGTGTGTATACATACATGGTATAAAAGGTGTAGGTTTGCCAACAACGAAGTAATTTCTTGTACTATATTTTTACTTCCACAAGACTAATAAAAGTTCAATAATCTGTATTCTGTATACATAAAAAAAATTGAGTAGCTGCATACGTATTCTTTTTTCCGTGAATCGATGAACCTCAAAAAGAAAGGGGATCGGCGATCCTCCCCAGATAACTTTTGATTCTTAGATGGTGGGAAATGAGCTTTACGGACTTCTAAATTTCTCATTGCATTACAAAAATATTCAGCTCACTGGTCCTGAAAAGGTACGGTAGTACGTCAGGTCCCAGTATAGTCATGATGGCGCTTGCTGAAAGATAAAGGTGCAATATTGGTCATTTTAAGGTTTGTCACTGATATCTCTCTAGTGTAAGACATAGGCGAGTTGAATGGCTGAGTGGTTAAGGCAGGGGCGCTGCAACCGACAGCTTTAATATCGGTGCTGGTTCGAACAGCACGCTCGACGCTCGCCTATGGTTCTGGAGGTGGAACAAGACATCTTCTCGGATAAGGACTATAAACCGTCGGCCCAGTGTACACCATTGGCTCATATGCACTTTAAACTTTAAAGAATCTAGTAGTAGTACTGTACATCTTTTCAGATGAGTAGTGGCAGGGGCGTACGGTGAAAAATCTAAGGGGGGGAGTCGAAACGAAAGCGCAGGGGAAAGCTGAACCCGGAGCAATTTAGCGAAGCTTTCAGAATTCGCGGGATGCGTTATTTGTGAGTGAAGCGAGCATATTTAAAGTTCACTTTCTTTAAAAGGGGGGGTCGACCGCACCCATCGAACCCCCCACGGTACGCCCCTGAGTGGGGCTACCTTGGGGTACTGGTCTATACATCCCCTGTTGTCTTTTGATGAGATTGTCACTTTGAAGAGTGATTTAGTTCACTGTTTGGTATAGCCTTGGCCCTAGTGCCTAAAGATGAATAAAAAGTATAGGCAATATTTTTACAAAAAACCATAGTTTGTTTATGCTATTGATTCTCTATTTGATAGTTGCTACATTAAATCATAGCATGTTTTTTCTATGTGCTATATAGTGCCTATACAGCATTCTTTCCTATGTTTTATTGACTGAGTATTTGAAATATATTGATTTGAAATATAACTTAAAGCTATGTTAGACTATCTATATACCAAGTAAGGAAGTTAAATATTGTATATATATAACTGTTTATTATTATCCCAACCATTTAAACCAGTGAGGCGTATTTATATTTGCTCTTTTGATTTTTTATTAAATGTTGGAAATCATTTTTTTTTTAAAGAAAAGAAATAACATTTTCTGAATAGATACAAGGCTTAATCTAGCAATGGAAAAATCTAACGTCTCTTTGTTGTGAGCATTGGAGCGTAACATTTGACTAAAAAGTTTTCATGATAAATGTAATGGTCGACAGATTTTTACAAGTGTGTTAAATTGAAGAGATCAACTAGGTAAATAGTTGAAAAATATATATACAGATTTTTACAAGTGTGTTAAATTGAAGAGATCAACTAGGTAAAGAGTTTAAAAAATATATATAAATCAAAAATGCATAGCAGCGTCCTTTTGGAAGACGTTTAAGCTGTTGGTCCCACTTCCAGAATGGTCTGTTTGCATGTTAAACATATTTCATGAAATCTAATAATAAAAAAAAAAAAAAATGAAATTTGCTTAATTTGTACATTTTAAATGTTAATTGACTTTTAACTAAAAATTAGAATGAAAAAATTCTTTACCAAAATTAACAGATGTTAAAATAATAGCATTTCTATATTATACCCTTAACTTTCTGCCAACATTTATTAAATGTCTGTAAATCATTGAAAATTGACCTTTGAACTGTAACTTGATACGGTAACTAATGTGATTATTTATAAATGAGTGCATTTACTATAAAGTTTTGAGGGTTTTTTTCTTTTTCATTGATTGCGTGTATAAGAGACAGCCCTTAATCATTGAGATGCCTCCCACTTCACTTTCACATCCGCTCCCCATCAGCCCTCCCATTTCAACTCCAAGATACACCACTGCACTAGAGAGATGCCTTTAAATTTAATTTTCAGACTTTTATGGGTTTTTTGTGTGTATTACCTCCTCGGGGGCATAGACGCTGTGTTATCATCTGGCAGATAACCCTGTAAGAAGGAGTAAATCCGGTGGTGGTGTATGACGGGTACTACTACCATGAGGTAGGGGGGGCGCCCTATTAGATAATGAATGGAGTTTGAAACTCAACCAACTTGTGTTTGAAACTTACACATGCGTCATAAAGACGCAGCATGCGTTGATACAAACGCCTTTTATGGTATTTTGAAGGACGCCCCCTTTATCGTAGTAGGTAGAGTAATGTACACTGTGTGTTAGGCAGTAGACACATGCTCCCACTGGAAGCCTATTTCCTTTGTGTGTTTACACTTAAGAATAGCTTATCAATC